CCTATAGTTTGGATGTAGAGGTTTTTACGGGTTTTTCGGTTTTCTCTGGTTCCAAAATCCAATAGACATATTATCTATAGTGTAAGTAGGTAATAACTAATTATTATTAGAAAAAAAAAAATAATTTTAAAATCGTAGACCTATAAAAGTTTATCAATGCTATGAAATAAGAATATTATTATGTGTACAACAAATTGTCACAAAATAAATACCAAAAATTCAAATTCTAATTTCCATGTCTAATCGATATCAATATTATTATTGAGTCGCAAATCGCAATTCGCAATAGCTGATGTAGAATTTCTGAAAATTTGGACGTTTATAGTGTTTCAGAATTCAGAGGAAGTTGTCATATAAATTATAAATTATAACTGTCACCTTACTAATATGCCTGCATTGATAATATTAAATACCTAAACCTAATGAGTTTATGGTTAACTCTTTACTCTATACTATGCTGTGTATGACACTTCGACTGTACCGACTACTGAACTTTTCTTAATTCTTCGTTACATATATTTGTTTAAATTTATATTTTTACGTATAACTTATAAATTATTACATCAAACTGAAACTTGGGTCGCCCAAGTGGGTTTAAAATTCATTCTTATTATTTTTTTTTTTTTTTATAATAATTTTTTATTTATTTAAAATATTAAAACGTATTTATTTTTTTAATTTATTATTTTTAATAATTCATTTTTTTATAATATTTCCTAAATTCTGAAATAGTTACGCTTAATTATAAATACCTGTCACTTAAAAGAGGTTATTAATATGTTTATTTTTTTTTATAGTACTTTATTGATAAAAATAAAATAAAATAATAAGGGTTAAAACCGGTATTAACCGAAACCGAAACCGAAACTGAAACTGAAATTTGATATTTTTAAAAACCGAAACCAGAACCGATAAAATCATAAAGGTTCCAGTCTCTGGTTTACTGTGTATTATAATATTATTTTCATACGCAGTGCTGATTTGGTCTCGTCAACAATACTTACTCACTCTCAAAATACCTCCCCCGATGAGCTGCATAATAATATGTGTGTGCTGATAGTTGACTCGCCAAGCATTTATCCATTTTTACGCATCTCATAGGCGTTTTATTATATTTTAATTTCAAAGCGAGCTAACACAATATTTTAAACACATTTTTGTAAAATACGAATATAAAACATTTGTTTGAAACGATTTGTTCATTGCTTAAAACGAATAAAACAGTGTAAAATCTAAATGATAACTGTGGTTTTTTTTTGTTCATTAATAAATAATAATAGATATCCTACAGAAAACAACTTAAAGTGTTGAATAATAATTATATCTATTACCATTCTCAATTTTATTTTAATTTTTTTAATTTTATTGACTAAATTACCAAATTTAAATGGTTTTATATTTAATATACATAAAATTATAATGTCCACATAAGACATCCATTCAGAAAATATTTAAAACACATTTCAAATACTTTTAAGATTTAAAATAAGTAATAAATAAACTGTGAAACATATTATACTAGTACATGGCATATTGGAATATTATAAGTAAATTAAATATCAAATTAAAAATAAGTTATTTTAAATGTACTGTTTAAAACACTGTTTTGAATTGCTTACAACTCATACAATTTATTTACAAAAAAAAAAAACATTTAAAAAAATACAGAAAAAATACAGTTTATTTTGCTTTTTTTTTCTTAAAAATTAAAAAAAACGCTAGCTCTGGTTAAGAGTATTTCAAGATAGGTATGTGGAAACAATTTACAATTTTAAAACACTCATACATAATCCGATTTAAAATTAAAATATATAATGAGTACTCTATGAGGTGCCCTAGATAAGAGTTTTACCTTTCAATGTTTATAAGAGGTAATTTCCCTCTAGTTAATAAATTAGGATCTAGTATATACCTATATTAGGAAGATGTTTTGAACTCATAAAATGTTGATAGGTTAGTATTAATTAATGTCAGTTTCATATAATCCTCATATCTCATACAAACCTATGCGAATTGACTTATTAGTTATTATCCTCAAATTTTGTTTTGGATTCGACGACATTTTTGAAAAAGTCTTCTGCTTCAAAATGTAAACAAAAAAAGAGCAGTTGTAACATATACGTCTGTATTGCCACATGATGCGTCAATAAGCTTAACAATTGAATTATTTGAAAAAATAAACTGTAAGTATATACTTAAAAATTCCATACATTTGTATTTGAATAAATAAATAACTAAATAAATGAATGGATGGGGGGGCTTATAGTCTTATTGAAATATCAATACTCTTAAAACGTTTTTAAAATTGAATTTTCCTTACTTTCTTCGTCGTTTTTTAAGCTAAAAATTATTGGCTTCAATGGCTATTATAGTAACAATGTAACGTAATATAATATAGTTAACTGTTCACTTGACATTTTTTTTTTTTTTTTTTTTTTTTTGTCAAAGCTTCGACATAAAAATTAAATTGAACTTTGATATCAGACAGTACTCAACTACAAAAAAGTATTGACAGGATTTTATGTCTCATGACAACATAATAAGATTCCTTTCATTTATATTTCACAACTGTTCTAAGTATTAATATTTTATATTGTTATAAAGGTTGACAATTTAACTCAAGTTGAAATAGTGTGTGCAATAATGTGAGTCGATGCGAATAATTTGAATTTTTAAACATATTATATTAACAATTAGATTGCATTATATTTGCTTTACATTAAAAAATAAAGGTAGAACAACAATTCATTTTGTAACATACGTTGATGAATGGCCATAACGTAAAATTGTTTTTAATTAAAAAAAATAGGTAAAACTATAATAACATGTATTAACGAAATATATTATGATATACAAAATATGTATTATTATTATTATTATTATTATTGTTATGATGGTATTTTTATATTAATTTTTTTTTATCGACTAATAAAGAGAAATGCTCATAAAATGTAAAGGGCCGCTTTAAAAAAAACCACTTGTATTATATACCTATATACAGGGTTTTTTTTCGTTTAGATAAAATGATTTTTTTTTATTTACGGTGATAAAAATAAGAAGTATTTAGTGTACATCAGCGAGTAGAGTTATTTATTTGTTTTGGTTGTATTTCTGATTAAATTATATTTTCAATTTATTATCATTTAATTTTTATTATTGAATTATTTTATGAATTTTTTTTTTTTCATATTTGAGTATTCAATCAATGTCAGTTTTATATATATAAAAAAAAACTAGGAACAGTGCAGCTAACTACAACAATAAGTACATATGATTTTCGTTTGAATTTAGGTCATAGTGCGCAGAAATAAAATACATTTCTTTATTGTTAGTTTCATCTGGAAACCTTTGCAGTCCTTTGTGTTAAAAAACATAATATACATATGATGTTCAACAGAAATAATTATTTTTCATATGGGACAGGTATATTAATATCGGTATATTGTTCATTGTTCGGGCTTTTGAAGATATTTTATTATATTTTATAATATATTTTTCTTTTATTGCGTTTGAAAAAAAGTTAAAAAATATTTTTATTTTTTTTTATTATTATTATATTGTCATAAAAAATTGTATAAAGAACATATTATTATGACGTCATTTTAAAACAGTGCCTACCAACTATAATATCAATAAAAATAAAGAAATTACTCATATCGCGCTGTCAATTAATACCATTCATGATTTAGTATAAGCTAACATTAATATTAAATATTTATAAAAATAATAATATTATAAAGAATAATTATGAGACTCGATAATATTAACGAAATATGTGTGTACTTAATCTATAAAATACAAATAAAATGCTGTGCGTTGGATCCGTTGTATCATCTGAGAACGGATGAATCGATTTGTTTAATCTTTTTTTAAAAAAAAAAAAAATGTTTATTGTAGTAAGAATGAAGTTTTTACGGTATGAAAAAATGGAAAAATTGGGAAAAACTGAAAAGCCTTTTTCCATGAGTTTAGAACTTATGATTTTGATATTCAGTGACTATAATATTTTTAACCAGCTTTGGTCTATCCGAAGTTAACAGACTCAAAAATACTGTACCGTTTTCAAGAAAAAATTGTAGGAATAAAATTCTTTAGGCCATGGTTAATATATATTGTTTCTTAAACCCCAATTTGTAGTTAAAGGGTATAGCTTAGTCTCAGTGGTCACACAATGGTTCCAAATTATATAACCATCATTATAATTAGTATAAATACGACAAAGATTTTTTTTACAAATATATTTATAAAAAAAGATAATCTTTGGCATGGGACGAGACAACTGATACAATATAATATAATTATATTCTATCGATTAAAATACTCTTTGAATAAAGTTCAATAGTTACAAAAGTATTCCTATAGTTTTAGAAAAAAGATAATCATAAAAACATTTATTTAAGTCATGTAAATAATTTATTTTTGTTAAATAAAATTTATGCAATCGTTAAAAAACGTTTTGAAATCAAAAAGTATAAACTAGTAAAGAAACCAGGAGTAGTTTCTTTGCAACATTTTATGAGAATTTTTAATTAGGTAATTTTTAATTTTTAACAGGTACCTACCTGTTAAAATCTAAATATTTTTTAAAAATGTTTTTACTTTCAAACTATAATGAGTTTTACTTCAAAGTTTTCTTAAAAAATCACAAAAATTAAACCACTTGAATTAGAGTAAAAGTTTTTCCAATCAAACGATTTCTGAGAACCAGAGTTAGAAATCGGATATTTTGAAATGTTCAAAACAAACTTTAAATCAGATTTTATTTTTCATTTTTTTATTAATTAATTAGGAATTAAAACATTTCGATTCGATAATTTCAAATATTTAATTTGTCAGTTATTCCTGCCACGCCCCGTAGAACGGTTTTTCGTGTGAAATAATATACCTTATAATATGATATGAAAGCAAACTAGGCAAACGACGATCCATACGTTTCTGTATTCGTAATAATAATTTATTATTGTTAGTAAGACGTAAAAAAGTATTAATTTTTTACTCACAGATTCTTGGATCATGTTCAGAGTGTTCGTAGCGTACTCGTTTTGCGATTGCATTATCAAGTTCATCATACTTTCCCTGATCGATGACACGATTCCAGACCCCGTCGTGGTGTTTTCCAGCAATACAGCTGATCCCAACAACAGGACGAAGAACGAAAACAGATGTACACCGGCGTTCTGAAAGGACAAAAAAAAATACATTAACTACAATACAGCGTACCTGTCTTTATCATATTTTTATATTTTCTACGAAATATTATTATCAATTATTCCTCGTTTTATCGCCAGCAATGTTAATTTTAACCAAAAAAAAAACTATTTTATTTACAATATAATTTTATCTGGAAAACTGGATTTCATCCGTTTGTGTGGACAACAATTTTTCAGTAGTATCAGATTTTAATTATTTACTTTTTACAAACATCATTGACTATATTATAGTTGCGTTTATTCGGTTTTTTTTTTTTACTATTCATTTTCGCTTTGTAACATGGCGTATCGTATAGGCAAACGGGGTACATAATTGTACAGTACCTACATTAAAATAATCATAGTACAGAGTAGTGTAATAATAATATGGTCAACGCAGGTTTAAATTTTTTATTTCGTAATGGAAATGATAAAATATATTTACGAGCATGTCACAATAAGCTCTATACGTCGATTGAAATTTTAATTGATACTTTATCGTATCGACTTCCATCGAACATGCATCCATTTCCAGTCTGCTTAGAGACATCCACTTAAACCGTGATGATTTCCAATCGATTACTACAATTAATAATTGATATTACAATGTATCACGAAGGAAGCGATTAAATATAAAAAGTGGTGGAAATTAAAATATTATACACTATGATTTTTTTTAAGCACGCTCGTCCTATGTTTTTTTTTTTTGTTTTTGATATTGCATATTTTATTCAAATTATGATTTTTGAAATTTTTAAATAAACTTAAGACCATATTTTCGAATAGTGCAGATTTACATGTACCACTTAACGATGATCCTGTGCCAATACAAATTTCTTTTTTTTTCATATAAGAACTCCCTTTTTTCTTTTTTAATTATTCGGCAGTTTATTTTTTTTTTTGAGAATTTAGATGTATCTAAATTAAAATTCTAGCAAGTTGTTTTTGACTTTGTGTACTAATATGTAAATGGTAATGGTCGAAGGAAGGCTTAGATGATTTGAAAGTGTTAGTAACTAATATTTGTTTTTCAATATAAATAGTTTGTAAAATTGATCCAAAAATAATAAATACTACATATTATAATATTACATTTAAATTATATTTTGTAAAAACATTTTTGAGGATTATTATCCTTGGTATAAACATGTTAACAACTCACAAATTACCCATTAGAATTTTTATTTAGATACATTCAAATTTTCAAGAAAATCATCCGCTAAATAATTTGCAATAAAAAGGGAGGTTAAAAATAAAAGTTATTGTATCTACACACGAGTACACGACCCTCCTTAAGGAAAAGTTACAAAAAATATCAGAAATTTGAAAACATTTCGATCTCTAAGTATAGTTAAAAAATCAGAATTTGAATGAATGTTCTATTAAGGAGGAAAATGGGGGGGGGGGGGGGGGTCATGATAAAAACATCGCAATGCGTATTAATTATTTGAAATAAATCCGTCCATCATTATTACGAAACAAAGTGTCCATTAATGTTATCGTGCAACCGGAATTCGTAGAGGCACGTCGGATCAAAATATGATAAAATAAAACAAAAATGTAGTCGATTAGGTACATTTTGTAAATTAAAACTGTTTTTTCTCCCAACTCCTATATTATTATATTGTCAGCAGAACGTTTTACCAAAACAGGTGAGCGCCCCCCTCCCCCCCCCGTTTCGGTAATGCGTTTCACCCCATATTATGTATAATTCACGTGACGGAAATCTGTCGTCGGATGGTTACTGCACTTAGTGTCATCTCGCCCCCCGAGGTCGTGATCGATCGACACGGTTTTCGATACATCCGCATGTCGTCGCACACATCAGCACATGTCAAGTTAATAACAGCTCAGGGCTGGTTTTGGGGATGTGTGTGTGGTTGTAGGGGGATGAAACGGCAATTACCAGGCGGTATCACACCAGATAAAACGATGGAGACGAAAATGTATTATTTGTGTACATAATCATATAATGTAAATAGAAAAACAATCTCAAATTTTACCATACGATTACTTACATACTTCCATACTACCATACTTCATTGGTTTTTAAATCGAATGGACTTCAATTTTGTCGGCATATATTTTATGATTTTAAATCGGTAAATAATATAATATTGTGGGGAAACAACTATGTGGCTAGGTACAAGAAGGGCCAATGTCAAATTTTGACAAAACTGTGATTATTTGAATAATGTCATTAAAATTCACAATGTTACTTGCGTTAAAAGGGCCAATGTCTCTTATGCTGTATGACCAAATAAATATGACATTGGCCTTTTTGACCATTTTTTTTATCACGTACCTATGTCGACATTGACCATTTCGAAATCAATTAATAAAGTTTATAAATGTAGAAGTAACTAACATTATGCTCAATTGAATATTATTATTAGGTTTTCATAAAAAAAGTCAAGTTGTTTTATAAAAAAAATTATTCGTTTTAAATTTTACTTTTTGTCCAACGTCAAACAAAAGTAATTTTATTATTTTTTCTGGGGGGCCAATATCAAACTAAAACGTGCATATTTACACTTAAAAACAAAATCAGAGTCGTACAATGAAATAAAAACAAATGCAATTAAATAACAGGATTTTTAGAGTTCCGACATAAAATTTAAGATTTTTATTTTAAATTTAAACATTTTTTTTATATTTGAAATTTCTGAACACATTGTTAAAGTATGATATTGGCCCTTCTTGCGTCTTGCACCAAGCCACACAACTATATGTATTGGTATAATATTACTTATGAACGCTGGTTGGATTGTTAATTTGATGATCACTGCCAATGTAGAACAGCCGATAATATATTATTATTAAACGACCGAATCGTTGTAGGTGTTGAGAATCATCAAAACAAGTAAATTTTATTTTTATCACCTTAACTGCTCGCATTCCACGAATAATGTATAGACATGATAATATGTGCAATTTGTTGAGTATTGTGAAACGATATATTGATAAAGTTACTAATATTTGAATATGATTCATGTGAGCCCGACTGCCAATTTTAAGCGACTTTTTTATCGAGCTCTGAACGTTCAAATTGAACATACCAACATTAAAATGAACTCCCAGTGAACCGACAACCATAAAAATAATAATGTACCTTTTTGTGAATTATTTACAATGATATAATATTACAGTTCGCAACTATATAATATCATTTAATATCGAAAAGTTAAGATTGGTGCAAATTAACAGCATCTGATTATCAAATTGTAATTACGACCATTTTTATTTAATTGCTTAATATGATTTCAAACATTTTAAAGACAACAATAATACAAAAATTACTTTAGAGTAAATTAATATTCAATGTCACCTCTATCACCATACACCTAATGACTATGAGTAGGATTTAATCCTACTATTATTTAAATATATTTTTTTTTTATCCTGTATACAAAATTTCTATCAGAAGGAGTGCTTCGGTTTCAACACAATATTACAGTAACTAATCTTTTAGCAAATTTGACAAAGATGGTACTTTAGACAAGTAATTTTGTCTATCTTTTCAATAGTTATTTTTTTGGAGTTTAGTATAAATGTCTTAAGTCAAAAACGACTAGTTTTCATGAAAATTTAACAAAAAATTGAAAAATTATTCCAAATCATAGATAGACCAAAACAAATTTCACTGATAGTGAGTTAAAGTTTTGACTTACGTGATCTGTACCGACAAAATATAAAAATATAAAAATGTGTGATTTTAATAACACTATAAGACAAAAATGTCGATTTTTGACCTAAGTAATTTATACCATACGTCAAAGAATTTGAATGCCAATGTAAAAACCACTGACTAATGTAACAATATTTTTTTTTTCATCAATATAGAAACGAATAAAATATAGTAATATTATATTAATATCATTCAATTAAACTCACAGGCTATAATAAACAATAACGATAGTATAAAATATCCAGACTGACAAACAGTCTCAGGCTCAGAGTCGTTTTTCTTACACAACGATATTATATCATTGGATTCAAGTTTGATACAATCCATTATTTTCCGTTGACTCACTTGTAACCTACTGTACAGCAGAGCGACATCCACTTATCCCCTTTTTTTAATATTTACTATTTTTATATTAATTGTACACATTCCGTATATCCTCGACAAATCTGAGTGACACAATTTCAAATTTGGGACACAACTCGATTGCAGCCTAGTATAATATTACTATACCTCAGTAGTGTTGTAAAGTATTTGAGTAAAAGTACCTATTCAAATACTTTTTTAAATACCTTTTATTTTGAAGTATTTGAATGGTATTTCAAACACTTTTTAGATTCTGAGCGGAGCGATGAATGTATTGGTTTTACAATGATGTGTGTTTTTATATTTTTTTTTTTAATTTTTTAATTTTTATATTTTTTAATTTTTTTTTGTGTCTGTCATCACGTTTTAGGACAGTAAAAGTGCTTGGATTTTCTTCATCAGTAGCTTTTCTGATAGGAAAGTGAATCTAGTTGGTACTTTGGGGGGTCAAAAGAATAAATTTCCCAGTAGTTTTCACAAGCGCCGGGAAAAACAACATAACAATTAAGGAAAAACTGGAATTTTTACGCAAAATCGGTTTTCCAAAAAATCGATTTTGGTTATTGGTGTAACTCTAAAACAAATGAACGTATATACATGAAATTTTCACTGGTTGTTTATATTTGCATTTTCTATACACGATAACATTTTCAAAATATTTTGATTTATTTTGAACTGTTTAGGGACATTTTCATTTTCCATTTTTTTTTTAGTTTTTTTTCTAAAAATATCAATAAAATTTTATCTATTGGGCCAAAAAGTGTAAACATTTAATACAAGGCTCCTAATATATTGTTACAATAGCAGTTGAAAAATATTAAAAATACATAGGCACAGTTTTTTTTTATAAGCATTTAAAGATCAAATTTTGACAAAATTTATCAAAATCCCGAAAATTATCAATCATTGTAATTAATAAATTATAAAATGTTCTGTT